CCCAGCATTATGCCAGAGAATGCCTGAGGAACCAGAATCAAGGGAGGCCTCCTATCCAGGGCATAGCTTACAACCTTACCCAGCAGGATGCCGACGCCGACCCGAATGTGGTACATGGTATGTATACTATATGTGACCATATTGCTCATGTTTTATTTGACACTGGTGCATCGCACTCTTTTGTTTCACATGCTTTTGCTTCTAAAATTAATGTATCACCTGATAAACTTGAATCACTGTTGTTTGTGTCTACTGCTGGGGATGAAACACTACTATGGAAAGCTATCTATAGGGCTTGTGCCGTGGAGATAGCAAATAAGAAACTGAGTGTAGACCTGATAGTGTTAGACACGGGGGATTTTGATGTAATCTTAGGAATAGATTGGCTAGCGGCGTATCACGCCACCATAGATTGCTTCAACAAGAAAGTTGTATTTAATCCTCCTAACGAAGAGCCATTTACAAATTAATAAAATTATTCAGTACGTATTCCTTGATGGCAAGTTTTCTTAACTTCTAGTGCCTTAATCTTGTTATTTTCTCTGACTAGGCAAGCCCAAGAGGAAAATTTGTATTCAAGAGATTCCTGTAGTCCGAGACTTCCCAGATGTATTTTCGGACAAACTGCCCGGTCTGCTAGTGGACAGAGAAGTTGAGTTCACTATAGACCTACAGCCAGGTACCCAGCCTATTTCGGTTGCTCCTTACCGCATGAGCCGCATTGAGATGGAAGAGCTGAGGAAACAGATCACTGAATTGCAAGACAGTGGTTTTATTAGACACAGTGTGTCCCCTTGGGGTACTGGAGTCACTTTTGCAAGGAAGGGAGATGGAACGTTGAGACTGTGCATTGATTACAAAGGATTGAACAAGGTCACGATAAAAAACAAGTATCCCCTTCCCTGGATTGATGAGCTCTTTGATCAGCTGCAGGGTGCACAAGTCTTCTCTAAAATAGATCTACGATCAGGTTACCACCAGGTAAAGATAAGAACAAAAGACATCCCCAAGACGGCCTTCCGAACCAGGTACGAACACTATGAGTCCCTGGTCATGCCATTCGGGCTAACCAATGCCCCGACAATCTTTATGGATCTGATGAACAGGGTCTTCAGAGAGTTCTTGGATCAATTTGTCATCGTGTTCATTGATGATATCTTAGTCTACTCAAAAAGCAGAGAAGAACATGCTCACGATCTGGCCCAGGTTTTGCAGGTCCTTAGAAACAAGAGGTTATATGCGAAGCTGAGTAAGTGTGGATTCTGGCTTGAGCAGACTGCCTTCCTAGGACACATCATATCGAAGGAAGGGGTATTAGTGAATCCCGAAAAGGTTGAAGCAGTACTTGGCTGGGAGAAGCTGACATCAATTAAGGAAATCCGTAGCTTCCTGGGAATGGCAGGTTATTACCGCAGGTTCGTTGAAGGATTCTCCAGTCTAGCAGCTCCTCTAACCCGACTCACAAAGAGGAATGCCAAGTTTGAGTGGAATGAAGACTGCGAAAGAAGTTTCTCAGAATTAAAGAAACGGCTGACCACTGCACCCGTGCTGGCTTTACCGAGTGGATCGGGAGGATATACAGTTTATAGTGATGCCTCCTATCTGGGTCTAGGTTGTGTCCTGATACAACATGGAAAGGTTATAACATACGAGTCAAGACAGTTAAAGAATCATGAGAAGAACTATCACACCCATGATTTGGAGCTTGCTGCAATCATTCATGCTTTGAAAACCTGGCGCCATTATCTGTATGGAGTGACCTTTCAGATCTATACCGATCACAAGAGTTTGAAACACATATTCACTCAGAAGGATCTCAACATGCGTCAGAGAAGGTGGATGGAACTCCTTAAGGACTATGATTGTGATATCTTATACCATCCGGGTAAGGGCAACGTGGTAGCAGATACCCTCAGCAGGAAAAGTGCAGGTATCTTAGCCCATTTGATGGTTTCAGAATGCAGACCAATTGGGGCCACACAACAGGTTCGACTTCATAATCTGAAGAGAGTCACATGTTTGGGCCGCCTGACAGTCCAGCCCGAGCTAATTCAGAGAATAAGGGAGGCCCAGACAGTTGACCCCACCCTGGTAGCTCGCAAGAAGGATGAAGAACAGGGAGGGAGCTCAACATTCCGAATATCTGCCGATGGACTACTTCGTTTCCAAGACAGGGTGTGTGTCCCATATGACAGTGAGTTAAAAAAGGACATCATGACGGAGTCCCATAGCTCGAAGTTTGCCATGCATCCAGGAAGCACCAAGATGTACCAGAGCATGCGACCCCAGTTTTGGCGCCCATACCGGACGGGGTATGGGGACGGCCCGTTTCACCCTCATATCGGACGGGGTATTGAGGTTCATGGTTTTGGTGCCCATACCGGACGGGGTATGGGACAGCCCTGGAATCAGATTGTAAATATTAATGGTTCACGTGTAGAGGGGACCCCTATGGATCCCCATGGATACTAGTACGCTGGTAAATGAGAAAAATGTGTTGTTTAATGATTGAAATGCAAAGGCGTGGTAAGTATTATGTTATACAGTTCATATGATTTCATGATGATGATAATGTTAATTGCTTTCATATGTTATTTTATGGATCTCATCGAGGTAAGTGGACAGTAAAGG